AGGCACATCAAATTGGTCATCTTCACGAATTTTCTTGCACCATATTTGTGTTGCCATGTCGACTGGTGTTTGTCCGATTGCATTCTCATGATAAAGTGATCCATACTTTCCATCATCATTCGTCGTATTTAATGGAACTTCAAGCTCAGCTTTCAACAAAAGTTTGGAAACACTATGAAGTCCAGTTTTAGTTGCTAAATGAAGATATCGATCATGTTGAAAATCATAAGAGAAGATATTGGCGGTTGAAACTTGATTCCAAAGAAATTTAAAAGTTTCTCTACGCGATTGGAGAATAGCGATTGCAATCGGCGTTTGTCTGTATTTTTTGCTATGTTGATCGAGAGCACGTTGTGCTGTGTTTTCATCAAGTTTATTGAAGAGTAATTGAAGCAATTCGATGTGTCCGTGGTATCTATGCATTAAAATTTAATATTAACAAAATACAAAATTCCTATGTAAAATCAATAAACTCACGCAGCATGAACACTACGCCATCCATTTTCATCTTTGACATCCGGGTCCGCGCCTGCCTCTAACAATGCTTCGACACATTCCTTATTTCCTTTAAAGGCGGCCTGAATAAATGCTGTAATTTTCTTGTAATTTGCACGAGTGTCTAAAATTTCTTCTAGTGTATCATCTCCTTTATCCAAATTAGGGCGATAGTATCTCGCCAATGCTTTGATTGCTTCTGGTTGATTTCCTTCAACAGCCCAATGAAATGGCGTTGTGTTAATATATGGCTCAAATGTAAAGATACGCTTTCCAATTTTCTCTACATCTTCAATAGTGTTCATTATTTTCGCCCGAAGGTCATTTTCACGATTTTTACGTGCAAAACGCTCAAGGGCACGAATCGGACGTGATGATAGAAAGTATTTGATTGACTCAGTGTTACCATAATAAGCTGCTAGGTGAAGGAAAGAAACGTCTATTGGTTTCTTTGAGGCTTCTGGGACATGGCGCACAATCCAAAGTTTTCTTTTAGATCCGTCGACATCGAGTCCTTGATAATATCTAATTTCAAATAAATATTAACATAAATAAATATACGAACCATTGATTCTAATATTATTTACTTTGGTTTTTCGACTTGCACGTGTTTATCTTGCTCTTCTGGATATTCCAAATCAAATAAAGCAAAATTGTTTCCTCCCGCGCCATATCTACACATAATTTTGTAAATGAATTTGTAAATAAATTGATTAGAATAATGCATAAATTATGATTTGAAGTCAAATAACTTACTCAAGTAACAAGTCGAGAATATCTAAATGCCCCATAGCAATCGCCCACTGCATAAGATTCAAATCTCCAAATTTCGGAAATCGAGATGATGTAGCACGGATTGTTTTTGTGACGAGGCCGCCTTCATTTTCTGAAGTATCTTTTAAATCTAAATTGAAAAATTATAGTTATTACTTATTCAAGCTGTTTTATAAAATAAAAAATTGTCATTACCTTTAGTGCTATACTTTCTTGTCAATAATAATTCAACAATTTTAACATAATTTTTGACGACCGCAACAGAGAACGCAGTAAGCTGCAAATCTTTAAAATCTTTATCTTTTATCAAAAACCTTTCGGGCAAAAATTCAGCTCTTGATAGTCCCGTTACAGCGTGTTGTGTTAAAGCGAATGGGGATACATGTGATACTGATTTTAAACTTATGATTGAACTTGAATCCTCAGGTGGATCTTCAAGGTTTTCTGGTGCAATAGGTGCAAGAGGTTCACCGTAATATAGTTCGGAATCAGAAGACTCGCCAGTTGCTGAAGTGGTCTCAAGTATTAGCGTCGTGATTTACTAATAAACGATTTAACGAAATAAAAAAATTACCAAAATCATAATTATTTACGGAAAAATCCATCTCCTCAGCTTCTTTTTCTGGAAGAGGAGCATATTGTTTCTCGGCAATTTCCAAGATTCTAGCAACTAAAGATTCGTGTCCTCGATAACAAGCAAGAAACAATGGAGTCCAACCATTTCTATCTAACACTGTCATGATACATTTCTTCGAAAACTGTTCAAACGATACAATATCATTATGCCAAATAGCATCATATAATGAGACATAATCATTGGGATTTTCACAAGACTTCGTTTTGTGAACAGGATTGATATATGTA